GGGGTGGAAGGGCGGCCGGCGCTCCCCCGCGCCAGCCGTCGTGGGTGCCAACACCAAGGGCTGACAGGCAGGTGGTGGGACAGCTTAACTGGGCGGCCTGAACTGGGGTTGTAGGGCTGAGCTTAACTGGGTGGCCTGAACTGGGGTTGTAGGGCTGAGCTTAACTGAGCGGCCTGAACTGGGATTGTAGGGCTGCTTAGAGGCAGCTGCAGACAGGAGAGGACCCGGAGGGTGATGGTCATTCACCCGGCGGGGTGTGTGCATAAAAGCAATAATTACACCCTGCCAAACCACACTGGAAAAAAAAAATCAGAAGACTATCTGGACAGGTGACACATGAAAAAAGGAGAAATTCCAGCTGCCTGTGCTGGTTTATGGTGTTTATCTGTTTTTTGTTGTTTCTTTCTTGCAATCCTTCTCTTCCAGCTGGGTCTTTTTGTGGGAGAAGGGCTACCAGGAAACAGACTCTGTGGTCAGTTCTGTAACCACAAAGGTGAAAGGAGTAACGCTGACAAACACATCCACCTTGGGAGCCAGGGTCTGGGATGTCGCTGACTATGTCGTCCCTCCTCAGGTATCAATCACTTTCACATGCAGAGGGAGGGTTTTCTAACAAACAGCTACTGCTCTGCCGAAGTCCACTGAGGTCTGGAGCAGCTTCGGCTCCAGCGTGGCCTCGATACAAGAGAATGAAGCAGCTTTGCTTTATTGCAGATCATGCTGAGCACCTGCACCACTAGCCCTGGGGAAGCTTGTTTCAAGAAAAGTGTGTCTGTGTGTGTGTGCTTGTATAGGAGGGAGAATTTTTCAGGCTTCAGGGAAAAGTTGCAACAATAACCACGTCGTCTTACTGCTTTCTAAAGCAAACAACTCAAAGTTAACTTGTTGGCAGAAACCCTGGGAATAGCTGGCAAGTCACTTGATCCGGAACTGAACGGGAGGTATTGCTGGAGTTACTGATTGACTATGTCTGTGCGAATCTGCGCTGTGTGGGCAATCTATGTCGGGGTTGGCAGGCATGGCCAAGCTGCTAGTCGTGGGTCACTCTGTCTGCATGAGATGTGGTGCAGAAAAAAGTGACAGATTTAGCCAGATTTTGGCTGAGTGATCATATTTACCTGTCAGTGGAGCAGAGGTAAACAACAGATCCCGAATTGTACAGATCTGAAAATAATGTAAGTGGTGCTCCCTGGAGAAACAAACCAGGACTGGTCAAATTTCTAACAGATACATTGGAAAAAAAAAAAAAAAAAAAAAAAAAAAAAAAAAAAAAAAAAAAAAAGAGTGGGGGTTGTGCTCAGAGTTGCAGCTGGAGCTTTATTTCTGCTCCTGCCTTGCGACTCCCCTGAGGAGCTGTGTGATCTCTGTTTTCATAATGTGAATGAGGAAATTTGGGCCAAGTGGGAGGACGGAAAGGGTTGCTAGTCCCACAGTCCTTCCTCTGCCTAAAGGCAGCGGCATCAGGCGATACATGTGGGAATCTGCTCCTTCAGTGCTACACCAGCACTGTCCAAAGCCCCCTGCGGGGCCACCTGGGCTCTGTCAGCAAAGACGTTTGGGGTGGTGCCTTGGATATTCTTTGCAGACTGTCACTCTTAAATTTCCTTCTTGTTTTGCATGTTCAGGAGGAGAACACTGTGTTTATCATGACCAATGTGATACTCACACTGAACCAGCGCCAAGGCCGCTGCCCAGAGGTAGGTACAGGCTCTGCTTTAATCCTGCCTTGTGTGGGTGGGAGTGTGGGGGCGAGAGTTTCTAGAGTTTAGTGTAATTATTGTTCCTCTCCAGCTTCCAGATGATAAAACAGTGTGCAAGGTGAAGAACAACTGTGTTCCAGGATATGTCAGCACCCACAGCAATGGTAAGAAGCCTGCTGCAAGGGCTCCTTTCAGTCTGTGTTGTGATACCTCTGTGCTGTGCCTTGCCTCCTGCGAAGGAAGCAGCATTTCACTTCAGTCTTCTTGTTCTCATTCTCTCACACCCAAGAGGACTGAAAGGGAAGCTCAGATTTTTCTTCTGGGGGAGAGCAGATGGGTTTAGACTGTTTTGGGTGGATGCTGGATAGATGTGTGCTTTGGTGAGTTAGCAAACAGCGTGAGGGCTTTTTCAAGACCTTGAGTCCATGAAGCACTGTTTCACATAGATGAGGATTTGACTCAGAAAAAGGACCTGATGCTTCTTTCTCTGAAATTGCACTGCAAATTACAATGGAAGATATTGGGGGTCTTCTTACTAGCACTTTACCTCTGAGCAGATTGCTTTCACCTTAGGGAGTGAGGAGATATGACGGGGCAAATACTGCCTCTGTATTTTTGCTTGGTAGTACCTCCATTCACATGTCTTTCCAGGCATCCAGACTGGGGAGTGTGTACTGTACAACAGCAGCATTAAGACCTGTGAAGTCTTCGCATGGTGCCCTGTGGAGGATGACTATCATATACCCAAGTGAGTGCTCTGTCTTCCTACTCTCCGGTGGCCCTCCTGAGAGGAGACTAGCAGTATGCAGCTGATGTTTCTCCCTATGAGGTACTATTGGGAAAAGCTGAAGAGGTGATCACCAAGGACCCTGCAGAGTCCTGTTTGTGAAAATATAACTGAAACTTATTTACCTTTCCTATTGTTTTGTAGGCCAGCGTTCCTGCAAGAAGCTGAGAACTTCACCATTCTGGTGAAGAACAACATTTGGTACCCCAAGTTCAACTTCAGCAAGTAAATAGTGTGTGGGGCGTTGCACTGTCTGGTCTCTTGGACAGTAAAGAGGAGCTGGAGGAGCGGAAGAAGAGGCAACAGATCTTCTCTCTCTGTTCCCTTGTAGGCGAAACATCCTCCCCACAATCAACTCCACCTACCTCAAGAACTGCATCTATGACTCCCAGACAGATCCTTTCTGCCCTATCTTTCGCTTAGGGAAAATAGTTGAAGCTGCAGGGCAGAACTTCCAGGAAATGGCTGTGGAGGTATTTGGCAGACCCTTCTCTTGGGCCTCAGCTGTGTAGAAAGAGGAGCGGTAGGTGGTTGTCCTCCGCTGCCTCGTGGCATGAGCCACGGGACATGGAGTAGCTGCAGAATGGAGAGCTGCTCTGGCCAGAGGGACTGGAGTCAATTCTACTTAACAAATATTTGGCCTTGGCTGGTTTGGGTGGGGTTGCAAGGCCCTTCTGTAGCAGGGGGAAAGAATGTTTGACTGGGACAAGGGCCTGTAAATCAGGGTCCTGGTCAGCAGAGAGCCTAGCACTGGGCTGGCCAGGCGCTTGGGCTGCTCACCGTCTCCTCCCCTCCACTTGGCAGGGTGGAGTCATGGCGCTGCAGATCAACTGGGACTGCAACCTTGACAGAGCTGCTTCCCACTGTGTGCCAAAGTACTCCTTCCGGCGCCTCGACAACAAGGACTCTGCCCATACCGTCTCGCCTGGCTACAACTTCAGGTAACGTGGCTATGGAGGGCATCTGGTGTCCCTGCGGCTCAGTCTACCACTGGCACAGTGTTACGGGCTGCCTGTGCTCCTCGGGCAGTTGCGGGTCATCCTTAGACTTCTGATGGTACTGTAAAACATAGAGCAGGTTGGATCCTCACTGGGTGCAAACCACAGCAGAGGGGGAAGGTCAGTGAAGGTCCGCTGATTCCGTCAGTGTCTGAGTCATATTTGCATCAGCATTTGGTGACTGTTTGGGCCAGCCTCCTGTGGCATGGCAATTGAAAACAGTCAGTTCTCACGGGTGTGCTGACAGGGCAGCGTTTGAAGGGGTTGGGGGGTGGGGATATGGTACATTCTGGCCAGTACGGATGGGTCCAGCACCTCCAGTAAAACTCCCAGTGCAGATCCAGGTAGCTGGTTGCATCCAGGCTCAGAGCTACAATAATATGGATTGGCCACCTTGCCAAGATCCTTGCAGCAGTCCTGCTCGTGAGGAAACGCGGCTCAGGGCTGTGCTTCTTTCTAGAGTCACAAACTCTCACTTAGTGCAGGGGCTGTCTTTTGGTAGAACTTGCGTGAATTCACTGGGAAGCTGCTGTCATGCAGACAGGACAAGCGTGTGTGTGGGAGGTGCCAGGCCTGCAGGTATTGGGGTGTCAGGCGAGACCGGCTGGAGGATATCGCAGCCCGGCTGGTGCAGGTTCTGAAGTGCTCTTGCTAATTCCAGACCGTGGTGCAACCCCTTACCAATCCTTCTTCTCTTCCACCCTCTTCTCTGCTTCCTCCTGGTTTAGTCAACCATGTGGCGGAGTAAGTCTGATGTCATTTATTTGTTCTGTTTTCCCTATCATTTGCCTGCAAGTCACGTTGTGTGGGACAAGGAACAGCCTTTGTGTGCCAGGCTGAGCTGTGCTGCCTCCCTCCTGCCTGCTCCCAGCCCTGCCCTCTCGTGGCTGCCTGCACTCCTGCAGCCTCCTGCTTGCCTCTGTCTGAGGGGGCCGATTCTCACGTGTAGCTGAATTTCTTCCTGTCTGTCCTTTTGCTCCCCTACTAAAGCTAACTTCCTCCCCTTCCTATATGCTTTGCAAGTTTCCTGATTTGGCTTGTGCTAACTGCTGTCTTAAATTCGCCTGTTCTGGGCTTTTCTCCTATATGTGCTTGCCTGCATGAAATCTCCCTCCATCATTTGGGGCATGTCTCTGGAAGTAGCAATGTTGAGCCCATCCTCTTGGGATGGGGGACACACATGGATGTTACATGATCACATAAGCAACCTCAAAACTTCCAGCTGAGCTCTGAACTATCTTTTCTCCAGGTTTGCAAAATACTACAAGGAGAGTAATGGCACTGAATCACGGACACTTGTCAAAGCTTATGGCATCCGCTTCGATATCATAGTGTTCGGAAAGGTAGGGTGGCTTAATTCCTGGAGGTCTTGTGGTGAGGGCTCTCAGAGATGCTGAAAAACATCGTCACCTTTGTAACCGTCTTCTAGGCAGGAAAATTTGACGTAATTCCTACAATGATTAACATCGGCTCTGGCTTAGCGCTGTTTGGCATGGTAAGTGACACTGTCTCCGCTTGGACTCAATGCTGGATTAGTGCCTCAGTTCTGAGGATCATTGTCTTATACTCTTTCAATCTCCACTAGGCAACAGTGCTGTGTGACATTGTTGTTCTGTATTGCACGAAGAAGAAATACTACTATCGGGAGAAGAAATACAAATATGTGGAGGATTATGAACTGGTAAGCATCAGTGAAGGCAGAGTGAAGTCGAAGTTGCTTCCTCCTCTGACTCTGGAGAGATTCTGAAACAGGATTTAGAAAGTCCGCATCAAACAGGGATATTTGAACCACAGCTCTGAGGAAACTTTGTCTTCCTCAGAGAAGCTCATTTTTACCTCAAAGCTGTTGCAGGGAGGAGCACTAGAAACAAATATTGTTGTGTTTCCTGGGCAACCACTCTCGGAGAGGGGAATGTATGTTCAAGAACTTGTCATGCTCCCACCGCACCTCTTTTTTGGGTTGCAGTCCTTGGCAGTTGCCTTCTGAGAGCTGCAGACAGCAGCTCTGTCCCCATCGAATCCTTCCTTCTTGGCTCTTGGGGGTTCCTGCTGCTGTGAACAAACCCATTCCGTGGGTTGGTATTTTCTGAGACCAGATGCTGACAGCCACAGCTACGCCTCCCTTCAGGTTCCAAAAGATCCGTTTGGCCAGGCGAAGGATTTAGTGGGGTAGTGGGGTTGCTTGACTGGTGCTGAGGGTGGAGCTCAGCCCTGCAGCCCTGTGCTTGGTGGGAAGTGTTGCTGCAGAGGGTGGATTTGTAAATCAAAAGACCTTGTGGCACTGGAAATGCAAAGTCTGAGTAGTGGAGAGTAGCTTGCCTGTGCAGAGGGTTTTATGTGAGAGGACGGGGGAGAAAGAAGAGTTTTCTGGCAGAGAACTGTAACCTCTGATCCTTGCAGGGAGTCAGTGAGACATACGGAACAAACTCCTGACCTCCTGCTGCTACAGCACCAACTGCTGCTGTGAATGTTACTCTGACCCTGCCGTGAGACCCACCCCCTCTTCGTTGGAAGGAAGCGGGGAACAAACCTGAGAAAGGGACCTTCTTCACTACTCTTCACTACTTTTGCTGGCTGGAGCTAACCCCAGAAAGAAGAACTGGGTCTGCTCCTTGTCTGCTGTCTTTCCAGGTTAATTGTGCTAAGCACAGAGGGAGAATTGTGCTCTCATGCCAGGCCTCTGCACTGGGTAAGCCTGGGACAGGGACTGCTCCGACATTGTCATTTTGACACTCCTCCTTTCCCTGAGCTCACCGCTAGCAGAGAGCACAGGGTAACCGGCACAGATTCTTCCTTACAGTGAACGTGGCCCCTGCCAGGTGTTGTCTAACCTTGGGAGAGCAGCTCCTTGCTGTTCTCACATCACTTTTCCGTGCCCTGACGGACTGTGGTGCTTAGCTGGGCCTGTGCCTACTGTTTAATCGTGTCTCCAAGCTCCAGTGGCCACAGACTGCGACAAAGGAGTGTCTTGTGCCATTGTGCTAATGGTAAATGGCTTACTGGTTACAGAATTTTTTTTCTGTTTTCTCTATTTTTTATGGTACTACTTTAAAATTTACTTTCTTTTTAATAAAAATATTCTCTCTCTCAGCCCTCTTGGAGTCCTGCAAGCTGGGTTTTGCTGGTTTATTTTTCCCCAGGGCCTGTGGAAGTTAGGGTCAGTGAGCTGTCTTCATTTTACACAGATCGCAACTGTTACTGGAGAGCGCTCAAAGCCAGTGCTGCTGTCTGCTTTGCCTCTGAATTCTCTCAGCAAGAGCGCTGCTGCAACTACAGCTTCTGCTCCACCTTGGTTCTTGTAACGCCTTGTCTGGGCCTGTTGCATTAAAACCCTGTCCAAGGGAAAAGACTTGAAAGTTCGAGGCCAGGGTGTGGTAGCCTAGCATGGCCTTAGCCAAACGCCAGTACCAACTGGCCAGAAGAACAAAGCTTTTATTCCCTGGCACATCTCCCGTGCTTTTCACCACCACCCCCGGGCTCCCTATCTGGGCTGCTGCCTTTAATGGGTTTACACAATTTAAGTGAATCTGTTGGCTTTTATCTTCACGTGGCCTTGAGCATCTCTGGTGCTCACGCTGGCACGCAAGGTACAGCTCTTCCCTCTCTCTGAACCTTTTCTCGTGTTACAGAGCCCTGGGAGCTATTCCCTACCTCCAGCATCCTGGCTGGGGCTTTGCTGCCTTTCTCCAGCAGCGCGGGGGGGTTGCTGCAGCATTATCGTTTCATTTTATTCTTTATTTGCCGGCTGCTGAGCACTAAGCTGAGTGTCGCAACTGGAACGGTGCCTTTCCAAGAGTCGGCGCTCTAGTCTGTGCGCATGAGTGGCTCGATTTGGATTACGTGGTGGCCAGAGCCGCTGTGGTCTCATCCTAGCCCAAGATCCCCAGTAGTGGCTGAGCACCAGACTTCACTAACACAGGAAGGTGCTTTCAGCCTTCTCTTCCACCAAGCAAACTCTCATAGCTTGATAAAGAGCAGTCAAACAGGATAACGGTTCCACTTGATCAACTAACTCTGGGTTTGGTTGCATGTCATTTATTTCAACTTGTACAGAGAAGCTTGAACAGCTGTGTGGAAAAACACTTAGTTGTTTTTTTTTTCTTTCTTCTTAGGTAATATAATTTAAAAGTGGTAAATACACAGTATTTAAACTTGATACACCTGATAAAGTTAAATGCATAATAAAGGGGTAGGAGTGAAACACAAGCCTCGGTCATTAAACAAACAGTATAAAAATCAGCAATAGTTCCGGACCTTAGAAAAGAAACAGATCAATCGCCTGATAGGTAAGAGGGGACCACCAAGAAAAACTACTCAAGACAAGAGGCCTGGTTTCCCCTTAGCACTTTCCTGTGTGCTTTCAGAGCCCAAAAGGCTTAGTACCCAGCATTAAACCGACAGTCAGCACTGGGCTTGCTTGAAAGGAAGGGAGCTGGGGAAATCAAGCTACAGCCCAGTTCCAAGGCACAAGCAAAATGTTTACTTCACTGTCAGAAAAAAAGCTAGCTCTACTACTAAGGAACAGCAGCGAGGGAACTGAGCGGATTTATATACACAGTACAGCTTCTCTAACAGGTCATGCATTTAGCTAGATCTTCCGCACACAGCCACGCTTTATGCTTTCGACAGAACTAACCAACAAGAAAAACCTGCATCGAGTTTCTTTCAGCAATGTGCATTTGGCTGCAGCCCTACCGGAGCTGGCACCGAGAGACAATCGTTTTGGAGAGCGCCTTAGGGAAGCGCTGAGCTTTAGGCTGACGAACCAAGCCCGTGCTAGCCGTAAGACGCTGAGCTACGGTAACATCTGAGGCCCAGTAACTGTGGCTGGGCATCGAGCAACTGGTACAGCTTACGCGGTGCTGAAGCCGTGTTGCACCTGGCAAGCCTGCCTGGTAAGTGTAAACTGTCTCGCTAGGCGCCTGACAAAACACACGCCAGAGATGATGGACAGGCAGCACAGAGCATCTCTACAACTCACCTTTAACAAAACACACCACACACACTGCTACGCACCAGCTATAAATAATCAGATCCCCCCTTTTTTTTTTTTTTTTTGGCAGAACAAGTCCATGTACAGGGTTAGAGAACCAGGCTGCCCACTCACACGCTTTTCCGCAATGAAAAGTCCTGTTCAGAACGGGGGAGCAGGCAGCTGTAGTAGTGCTGGCACCCAGGTTACCTGTTTGGTTTTTCCCATAGCTGAAGCTGCAGGGCTTTGGCATAGCCTCGGACTAAACTGGGAGGAAAACAGTGCATATCTTATGGCTCCAAACTCCGTAGTACTGCTCCTAAACCACGAACCATCGTCCCTGGCTTTGGAGAGAGGCCAGCAGCACAATGTTTCAGTAATAAATTGCGATTTAGGGGGAGCATTGCTTCAAGTGATCAAAAGATGTAAGGGACAGTTTGCGTAGGCACCTGCACACTTGCTAACGCTACAGCGGCTTTAACAACGCCCCGTCCTAACCAGGAATTACCGGGCCAGATCCGACTGCAGCAGGGCCAAGGACCTCAGTGCTTTGCTGCTTGCAGTGCCCAAGATCAAGGAAGACAAGGGGCCAGTCACTTCCTAAAGGCAGGGCACCCATGGCCAGGGTTAGCAGGCAGAGATCTTGCCGTTAACCAAAATACTTGGGTCTCTCCTGGCACCTTCTTCCTCAGGGCAAAGGATTCGGCCTTAGCCGTCCCTTATATGCTGGGGACATTCGAATCCTCCCCCTCTTTCAGGCACACCGGCATTTTAAATGCCCTGTTCAAGGTCACACAACCACACCAGACTGAGAAGAGAAGCCAGCCCTTTCCCCCGCAGCCCCACGCCGTACTTACCGTGACCCCTTTCCCCAAGCAAGCCCTGACTCTTCTCCAGCTCACCCGCACTCCGCCATTCTCCAGCTTTGTCCGAGCACGGAGAACTTGGGAAAGTGAGTCTGGCCATCAGAATCTCTCCCACCACACGATAGATTCTTTTTTTTTTTTTTTTTTTTTTAAACCCCCACAAAAAAAAAAA